GTGGCACCAGCGTTTGAATTTTCAAGGCGATATGTCGTTTTCTCGGGCTCGAACCAACAGTCCGAGCGCAGGCATTTTTACGACCGCCGCGACGGGTAATTGAATATATTTATATATTTGTTTATTTATATATTATTTATGTATACATATGAATTCATATATATATATATATATATATATATATATATATATATATATATATATATATATATAAATTCTTATGTGTATTTATATTTATATATTTATATATGATATGTTTATATATAATATGTATATTTATTTATAATTCATATATTCATATATATATACATATACATATATATGTATATATATATATATACATATACATATATATGTATATATATATACATATATATGTATATATATATACATATATATGTATATATATACATATATATGTATATATATATATATATATATATATATATATATATATATATATATATATAATCATTTATATATTTATGTATATATGCATATATACATATGTTCATATATATATATATATATATATATATATATATATATATATATATATATATATATATATATATATATATATATATATATATATATATATATATATATATATATATATATATATATTAATATACATGTTCATATATTTATATTCATGCTTGTTCATAAATACTTAAATATATATATTCATACATATATATATGTATATATATGTGTGATATATATATGTGTGTGTGTGTGTGTGTGTGCATATATATATATATATATATATATATATATATATATATATATATATATATATATATATATATGTATGTATGTATATATATGTATATGTATATATATGTATATATGTATTTATATATCTATGTACATATTTATACGTATGTATACATGTATATATTTATATATATATATATATATATATATATATATATATATATATATATACATACACGTTTATATATTTATATATGTATATAGATTCATATGTATATATTCATATATATACATATATATATATGCATACACACACACACACACACACACACACACACACACACACACACACACACACACACACACACACACACACACACACACACACATATATGTATATATATATTCATATGTATATATATATATATATATATTTATATACAAAATAGAATTAGATGAACTAACAAAGACCATAAAGAAACAGAAGAGAGGTGTACGGAAGTTCGACGCTCAAATAATAAATGAAACAGTGATCTCAGGTACCAGCATGGAAACAGCTAAAAAGAGACTCGGAATGAATGCAATAAAGAAACCAGACTGAGAAGTGACATACAATAAGAATTAAATCCTAAGAGAAGTGGAAGACTTACAGTGATCTATATATCTCAAATGGACAGCCACGGATAGAAGCGAACGCGGTAACTAGAGACGTACCTAACTTCACAATAGGCATGAAGAGGGAAAACACCAGGTGAAGACGGTATTAGTATATACCTTATAATAGATGCAGGAGAAATTGTAACAAAGAAACTAGCCAGTCTTTTTAACAAATGCCTTCCCAACGCAAAACCTCCGAAAGCCTGGAAAAATGCAACAATTATTTTGATGATAAAAAAGGGGATAGAAAGGATTTACCAACCCATAAGTCTCCTTTCAGTTACTTACAAACTGTTCACAAAAGTCATCAACGGCTCGTATCACTGACAGTCTGGATTCTAACCAGCCTATAGAACAGACAGGCTTCTGCGGTGGATTCGCAACAACAAACCACATCCACACTCACCCAAATAAAAAAAAACAAACTAATATAGGAACCCCTGTATGGCATTCGAAAACGCATTTGACTCTGTTCAAATACCAGCAGTACTAGAAGTTATTCGAAGACAGGGAGTAGAGGAGGTATATTGTAAAATATTGGAAGATATATATACGAAGATGGGACAGCAACCATCAAGCTCCACACGGAAAGCGATAAAATCCCAATTAGGAAAGGTGTTAGACAAGGCGATACCATCTCACCAAAACTGTTTACAGCTTACCATGAGGAAATATTTAAGAAGCTCGAATGGAACAGAAAGGGTATCAAAATAGGAGACGGATACCTAAACAATCTAAGGTTCGCAGACGAAACCGTTCTCTTCAGTGAATCTGCAAATGAAATGCAGCAACTAATAAGCGATCTGAATAGAGAAAGTCTGAAAGCTGGACTTGGGATGAACAAGAAAAAGATGAAGATCATGTTCAACAATAGAGTTCAATTCGAACAGATACATGTATTAGGCGAAGCGCTAGAGCAGTGGTTCTCAAACTGAGTGCCGCGGCACCCTGGGGTGCCACGGACAGCGCCTAGGGGTGCCACAAGACTGCCATGAATTTTGTCTTGGCTAGATCGTTTCAAGGTACATTTGTAAAACAGTTTGTAGCAGTCTGCCTATAATTAAATGTCGGTGTAGGAAGTTACTTGCTCTAATATTTAACTAAAATATAGGTAGATATTTCCTTTTGTACACTTGTACTACTACTACTACTACTACTACTGATAGCATAATAATAATAATAGTAATAATAATAATAATAATGTCAATAGAATGTAATAGTACTCCTTGCGTAACCAAATTTTCTTTGTTTATACTCGTCGGTCGTCCAGTACGTGATGACGTGATCGGTACTTGTCCGATTTTTGTCAGTGAGGCACTATACATCGAGCTGTACGGGTGTATTCCTTGCTGCTTCTGATAATCTGCAGCTGTATTGAACTTAAACTCACAATGGATAAGTTTGTCATTAAGAACTTGAAAAGGATCTGTCAGTCACATCAAGCACATGTATCTCACTAAATCAGGTTAGCTTTTGTTTGTTTTGCTTATTTGACTATCAGTGATTATCATGCCTTTTTTCTTCTTCTTTTTATGCTACTTTGCATTTATAACTCTTAAGTTAATCTAATATTTTGAATCTAATTCCACTGACGAGTTCTATGTTTGGGCATGTACTACAGTACATCATATGTTAAGTTTGGTTTGAGTACGGATAATAATTTTAAATCATTAATTAAAGTAATTCAAACAGGTACAATTTTATATCAGAAGTTAATTCATGTGAGGAGGGGTGATGGTGAAAAAGGGGTGCCACAGAAAGTATTATATAAATTCAGGGTGCCATCATTGAAAAAAGATTGAGAACCACTGCGCTAGACGTATAGGACAAGTTTATATATCTAGGGGAACTTGTACAGACAAACACATCTAGCGAACAGGAAATTAAGCGACTCATCAGTCTAGCCTGGAGTGCCTTTGGCAGACACAATAGCATACTAAGAGGCTCCTTGCCATTATGTTTAAAAAGAAAAATAACCAGTGCTTCCTCCCAAATATGACCTATGGATAAGAAACGACTACAAACAAATTACTGGAGAGGAAACTAATAAGTTCCCAGAGAGGGATGGAAAGGTTGATGCTGGAAATTATCCTAAAGAAGTTGGATGTGGCAACGTGGATCAGGGAACCGATAAAAGTGGAAGACATACTTGGGAGCATCAAAAAGAAAATATGGCAATGGACAGGTCATATATGTCGGAGACAGGATGAGAGATGGACAAAGAAAGTAACAGATTGGGCTTTAGATAACTTAAGAAGACGAAGACCAGACCAATGACAAGATGGCGTGACGAAATAACGAAATTTGGGGGCCAAGACGAAACAAAAAATGCAACAAAGTTGGAAAAGATTGGGAGAGGCCTACATCCTCCATTGGATCAATTCATGCTGCTGCTGCTGATATATATTTATATATATTCATATATATATATATATATTTGTATATGTATATATATTCATATATATATTTATATACATTTTTTTATATATACATATATACATATATATATATAGATATAGATTCATATATATATATATATATATATATATATATATATATATATATATATATATAGATAGATATACATACATACATACATATATATATATATATATATATATATATATATATATATATATATATATAATATATAAAATATTTATTTTCATGTGGGACTTAGTTGACCTTTACCACTTTTGATATGATAGGTAATCTTTGATGAGCTACAAAGGGCTGTGTTGGGACTACATTCGCGTTTAAGGATATCTGAATTTTACCGCTGGATGTTCGTTTGTGTAAAGCAAAAGCTGGCGTGGAACGCATCCCGGATCTCGGAGAGTGAAAGGAAGTTAAAAAGAAGTTAAAAAAAATATTCTGCCTTGAGAATTGATGGATTGGTAGGCATGTTAAGAGATTGATACTTAATTGCCCACTGAAAGAAAGTGAATAAGTTTTTTTTCTATATAAAACAATAACGCATAATGGAGAACATGGGTGTCTCTGCTAAGCACTCCTGAAAAACAGATGTCAGAATGAAGTGGAATGACGCAGGTGTCGCGAGGGCTGTAAGAGGGGTGGGGGGCGGGGCCGGGTTGGGATGAAAGGGAAAGTACTTCCGTCAACATCTGCACTTTTCACCTCCGTATCCCCTGGTTTCTATTTCCCTCGCGTGGCTATTGTCAAGATTCTATGTTTAAAGCTGGGGGAACTTGTCGGGGTGAACGGGGACGGAACAATTCCGCAGCAGCTGCCTGCTTCCTGCTATTTGCTCTGCTATCGCCTCGTCCTTAGACCGTTGATGTCGGGGGAATATGCGGGGTCATCATATCTATAGATTTTGGGTTTCAAAATGCTAAGTGCTTTGGTATGTCTTTCAGACTGTATCCATACGCGTACACCAGTAACAGACCTTACGCGTGGGCGTAAGGGTGGTTATAGAAAGTGGACCGGGATGTGGGTTAAGCCATTGGCCAGTAATTGGTACGCGCAGGTGAATGTTAGCAAAGTTGCTGGTCGGTGGGTGCCAGCTGTATGATAATTCTCGTCAAAACAAACACTACGTTGTCACATCGTAAATGCGGAGGTAATCATTAACATGTTCTGTATATTTAAAGTTTGTTTGCTTTCAGATTTTGAATAATAACGGACGGAGAAATAACCAGGTTGCCGAAAGAATAATATCAATTGTATAACTCCGTCAGTGCAATAATCAGGCAGGCGGATAAGTTTTGGTTGCTCAGCAGTAGCACCTTACAACTTGGGTGGGGAGGTAGTGTTGCTCGGTCCTGGTCCAGATCTGACACAAGAGACATGCCGAGAAAGGAATACTCAGTTATAAATGTTATCGTGAGGCGAATCATAAACTTATTGCCGTGAAATCATGTGTAGCAGGTGTTCTGAGAGTGGTGTGTTGCATTGAGTGTTAATTTTGCTAAGTGTAGGACAAATATGTTGCAAGGAAATGGTAACAGATGATTGAATATACATTTTGAATGCTGTAATACGTCCATGTGATGACGATGTTGAAGTGCTTAAAGTTCACTTCTGTGTATCGTGAGATCAGTGATAACTGTTGTATTTGGGTCATTGATACTATTGGCTTTTGTGGCGTGCGTGTGCGCGTACGACAGGTTTTGCCTGCTAATCTGAAGCGCTTCAAAAACATGTGAATAATCTAGTCGGTAGGTGAATAAGACCAAAAGATCCCTTGATGGATGATTAAGGCAGAGCCTGTGTTTTCAAAGGATTTTACGTGCATCTTGAGTGAGGCTACTTTGACTCAGGACCAGCAATCACTTCACATGCATTGGAG